AACTGATCTGGATCTTAAGCTCGAGCTGCCTGAACACATAGTAGCTGCCCCAGAGCTAATTGACAGGGGAACATGCCAGGAGGACGCGCCGCGAAACGTCCCAAGGGATGCGCCAGGCGACGTGCCAGGGGACGTGCCATGGGGTCGCACCGCGGGACGTGCCAAGGGGACGCGCTACTGAACGTGCTGGGGACAAGCGTTTCGCTCGAGACATCCTATCAAAATCATCCGAATTCCTACGCGCGGGACGCGGCACGCGCGAGACATCCTCGGAATTCCTGCGAGCGGGACACGAAAACAAGCATTTCGCCTGAGACATCCTCTGAATTCTGGCCCCCCACGAGGCCCCCGCTCGAGACATCCCCCAATTTTGCAAAACCAGCGTTTCGCTCGAGACATCCTCAACAAATTATGAAACAACAAGCGTTTCGCTCAAGAAATTCTGTCAAAACCCACAGAAATCTAAATTCCTGCGCGCGGGACGCGGCACGCGCGAGACATCTTCGGAATTCCTGCGCGAGGAGCGCTTTTCCGTGTCGCGGTCGGCTCTGCAAAACCAGCGTTTCGCTCGAGACATCCTCAACAAATTCTGAAACCAAGCGTTTCGCTCGAGACATCCCCAACTCTGCAAAACCAGCGTTTCGCTCGAGACATCCTCAACAAAGTCTGAAAAACAAGCGTTTCGCTAGGGACATCCTCAATTTAATTCGCCGGCCCTACGCGACCTCGTTATTCATCGCAAAAGAAATTCGCCGGCCCTACAGCCGTCAAAACCGGGGGGAAACCAACTAAAAGAGAACCCTGGGCTCAGGCCCTTTCCGGGAACAAGCGTTTCGCCTGAGACATCCTCAAATTTTAATCCGCCGGCCTCCTTCGACCTCGATATTTATGAGGGAAAGAATCCGCCGGCCTCCTTCAAGTTGGGCACGGGGGGACATTGTTTACATACTAACATGATGGACCCACGAACCCGGAAAGGGATATAGACATGTGGAGCATGGACACGTTTTCATGATACCCAACTGGGCAACACCTCACGAAACATCCCACGAGACACCTCACGAAACAGCCCACGAGACACCTCACGAAACATTCCACGAGACACCTCACGAAACATTTCACGAGACACCCCGCGAAACATTCCACGAGACACCCCACGAAACATTCCACGACGACAGGCAACCACTCAACCAAGGCGGTGTGGTCGTGCTGGGGAGTGGTCGTGCTGGGGTGTGGTCGTGCTGGGGGGTGGTCGTGCTGGGGGGTGGTCGTGCTGGGGGGGTGGGTCGTGCTGGGGGGTGGTCGTGCTGGGGCGTGGTCGTGCTGGGGCGTGGTCGTGCTGGGGCGTGGTCGTGCTGGGGCGTGGTCGTGCTGGGGCGTGGTCGTGCTGGGGTGTGGTCGTGCTGTGGTAAGGTCGTGCTGGGGTGCGGTCGTGCTGGGGTGTGGTCTTGCTGGGGTGGGGTCGTGCTGGGGTGTGATCGTGCTGGGGTGGGGTCGTGCTGGGGTGTGGTCGTGCTGGGGTGTGGTCGTGCTAGGGTGGGGTCGTGCTGGGGTGGGGTCGTGCTGGGGAGTGGTCGTGCTGGGGTGTGGTCGTGCTGGGGTGTGGTCATGCTGGGGCGTGGTCGTGCTGGGGTGGGGTCGTGCGTGGTCGTGCTGGGGTCGTGCTGGGGGGGGGTGCTGGGGTGGTCGTGCTGGTCGTGCTGGGGGTGGTCGTGCTGGGGTGTGGTCGTGCTGGGGTGTGGTCGTGCTGGGGTGTGTCGTGCGTGCTGGGGTGTGGTCGTGCTGGGGTGTGGTCGTGCGTGGTCGTGCTGGGGCGGTGGTCGTGCTGGGGGGTGGTCGTGCTGGGGTGTGGTCGTGCTGGGGCGTGGTCGTGCTGGGGCGTGGTCGTGCTGGGGCGTGGTCGTGCTGGTCGTGCTGTGGTGAGGTCGTGCTGGGGTGTGGTCGTGCTGGGGTGTGGTCTTGCTGGGGGTGGGTCGTGCTGGGGTGTGGTCGTGCTGGGGTGGGGTCGTGCTGGGGTGGGGGTGTGGGGTCTGGTCGTGCTGGGGTGTGGTCGTGCTGGGGTATGGTCGTGCTAGGGTGGGGTCGTGCATTTCGCTCGAGACATCCTGCCAAAATTCCAGGAAATCGTACAAAAACAAACAAATTAGTCGAAACATCATCGAAATTCCTTCGCGCGGGGCGCTTTTCCGCGTCGCGGTCGGCTCTGCAAAACAAGCGTTTCGCTCGAGACATCCTCGGCAAACTCTGCGGAGCAAGCGTTTCGCTCGAGACATCCTCAACACACGAAAAAGTGGCCCGCACCCTGTGATTTATCGATCGGGATTTCAAAAACAAGCGTTTCGCTCGAGACATCCTCAAATTTTAATTCGCCGGCCTCCTTCGACCTCGTTATTTATCAGGGAAAAAATTCGCCGGCCTCCTTCAAGTTGGCACCGGGGGACAGGTTTACCCACTAAAAGAGAACCCTGGGCCCAGGCCCTTTCCGGGAACATGATGGACCCACGAACCCGGAAAGGGATAAAGACATGTGCAGCATGGTCACGTTTTCACGATACCCAACTGGGCGACATCTCACGAAACATCCCACGAGACACCCCGCGAAACATCCCACGAGACACCTCGCGAAACATTCCACGAGACACCTCACGAAACATTCCACGAGACACCCCGTGAAACATTCCACGAGACACCCCACGAACAGGCAACCACTCAACCAGACACGCCACGAAACATTCCACGGGGGTGCGACTGGGTGTGGTCGTGCTGGGGTGTGGTCGTGCTGGGGTGTGGTCGTGCTGGGGGATGTAGACATGTGGAGCATGGGCACGTTTTCACGATACCCCACGGGGCAACACCTCACGAAACATCCCACGAGACACCTCACGAAACATCCCACGAGACACCTCACGAAACATTCCGCGAGACACCTCACGAAACATTCCAGGAGACACCCCGCGAAACATTCCACGAGACACCCCACGAAACATTCCACGACGACAGGCAACCACTCAACCAAGGCGGTGTGGTCGTGCTGGGGAGTGGTCGTGCTGGGGTGTGGTCGTGCTGGGGGGTGGTCGTGCTGGGGGGTGGTCGTGCTGGGGGGGTGGTCGTGCTGGGGGTGGTGTGCTGGGGCGTGGTCGTGCTGGGGCGTGGTCGTGCTGGGGCGTGGTCGTGCTGGGGTGTGGTCGTGCTGTGGTGAGGTCGTGCTGGGGTGTGGTCGTGCTGGGGTGTGGTCTTGCTAGGGTGGGGTCGTGCTGGGGTGGGGTCGTGCTGGGGTGGGTCGTCTGGGGTGTGGTCGTGCTGGGGTGTGGTCGTGCTGGGGTGTGGTCGTGCTGGGGTGTGGTCGTGCTGGGGTGTGGTCGTGCTGGGGGGTGGTCGTGCTGGGGGGTGGTCGTGCTGGGGGTGTGGTCGTGCTGGGGGGTGGTCGTGCTGGGGCGTGGTCGTGCTGGGGCGTGGTCGTGCTGGGGCGTGGTCGTGCTGGGGTGTGGTCGTGCTGTGGTGAGGTCGTGCTGGGGTGTGGTCGTGCTGGGGTGTGGTCTTGCTGGGGTAGGGTCGTGCTGGGGTCGGGTCGTGCTGGGGTGTGGTCGTGCTGGGGTATGGTCGTGCTGGGGTGGGGTCGTGCTGGGGTGGGGTCGTGCTGGGGTCTGGTCGTGCTGGGGTGTGGTCGTGCTGGGGTATGGTCGTGCTAGGGTGGGGTCGTGCATTTCGCTCGAGACATCCTGCCAAAATTCCAGGAAATCGTACAAAAACAAAGGAATTAGTCGAGACATCATCGAAATTCCTTCGCGCGGGGCGCTTTTCCGCGTCGCGGTCGGCTCTGCAAAACAAGCGTTTCGCTCGAGACATCCTCGGCAAACTCTGCGGAGCAAGCGTTTCGCTCGAGACATCCTCAACACACGAAAAAGTGGCCCGCACCCTGTGATTTATCGATCGGGATTTCAAAAACAAGCGTTTCGCTCGAGACATCCTCAAATTTTAATTCGCCGGCCTCCTTCGACCTCGTTATTTATCAGGGAAAAAATTCGCCGGCCTCCCTCAAGTTGGCACCGGGGGGAAGGGTTTACCCACTAAAAGAGAACCCTGGGCCGGAGCCCTTTCCGGGAAAAAGAGAACCCTGGGCGTATGCCCTTTCCGGGAAAAACAAACGTGAACGCTGCACCACAATAGTCTGCCAGCTCTTGAGATCCAGCTTGTTGTTGATCACCTCTTCGGGTAGAACACGCAACCACTCTCCAGCTTCAAGTGAATCTGCCAGGTGGGGAGCCTCCGCTGCTAACGTACTCATGCACACACGCTGAGTCGACTTCGAACTATAGTCCATCATCGCAGCCTTGACCAACTTACCACCGAGCACCTCTTCCCCGGCAATGAACAGCATGTGACCTCCGATGCTATTGTACTTGCTGATCTCGTCGCTCTCCGGGTTACCGTTCGCGTGTCCAGAATCGCACATGGCGACCACCACCGCCTTGGACAAGTCGATCCCCGTCGGAAATGTCTGCATGTAGTCCGCGCCTCGCTTTCCGTCGTTGATAGCCTTGTTGACCTTCACCAGATCCGCCACGCACGGTACCACCATAACTCGTTGCGCTTAAGGCTGTCTTCTCAAACTCTGCAAGAATACCCGCCAACATATCATCCACATGAGTGCACATAATCCCAACCAGCTTGCCACTGTCATCTCTGGAGTAAAATAAAGCTGGTTCCAGAACTGATTGGATCCATCCATCCTTCTCCAAGACTTCACAAAAAGCCAACCAAAATAAACATGCCGCCTCTGCGAAACCGTAGATCGCCTTCTTGGCCTTCAGGAGCTGTCTGGGATGTAGTCCAGGAAGTCCCCCTCGGGGCTGGCTGATGTAAACCTCACGCCCAATCCCGCGTCCAGAAAAGTAGGCATTTTTGACGTCGCCGCAACGCATGATCATGTTGGTACTTGCAATTACAAGAAGAACCATCGCCCCCGCGAGTGTCGATGCTGTCGGTGCGTCCCTCCGGTATTATCCAGGACTCTTGTCCTTGAAACCCTGAACCACCATCCTCGACTTCGCCTCGAATCTACCTTCAACGGTCCCCTCGCTCTTGTTCCCCCAGATCCTCTCGCTCTCCGCCACGTTGAGGGTCTCGCAAGCGTCTAAGTCCTGCCACGACTTCCACTCCTTCTCGTCTGAACCTCCAGGCCCTGTGAACATCCTGCGCTGCTCCTCGTTAAGCTCCATCGACCTCGGCTCCTTTCTGCCCTTCTTCGCGGTAGTCTGGCCGACTTGGCAGGCGTACTCAAAGTCGTTCCTCTCCACCCCGAAGCCCAGCAACTCCTTGCTGATGCCGCGCTCCTCGTAGAAAGTCCGATTCACCTCGTAGGTCACGTAGGCCGCCTCCAGCATGTGATCGCTGTCGTCGTAGACATTGAACGCCGCCTCCTGATCCTTCCGGCTCTCTCGAATCGAATGAGGCACATCATCGAGTAGCCATTGTCGTTTAGCTTCTCGCTGTCCTGCTTCATCTGCTGACCTCGCCTTCACCTCCTTCGACGGATCGTCGAGTGGTGCACCGCGTACAGGTACTGAATGATGGTCGTGTAGATCTGGATCCCAATCTTCTCCCATTGGAACTTCTTCCGATTGAATCGTCTGCTGGACGAAATCATTCATGGCCTCTTTCTGCTCGTCCCGCTGTTCTCATTGTCGAACTGCTGGCTCTTCAGGCACAGGTGGTCCGTCCTGTCGAAGTGATTATGGTACCTCTTGTTGCTCTGCTGCTTCTGGCTGTGGTGCTGGAACTTCTTCCCTCTCACTCGGCTGCGGCACCTCTGGCGGCGGTGCCTCTGGAGGTGGCCGCGCCGCCGCCGGCTCTGACTGTACAGGAACTCTGTCTTCACGAAAGTCAGGTGGCACTGGCCGCCGTCGTAGGTCTATGAACCCGCTGCCTCCTGCGACCCCCGTGGCGTCGATCAAATCCGCGTCCTGCGCTGACACGGGCCAGGCCCTGACCTCCTCATCTGAAGCCTTCGCGAGATGCTCCGGTGCACAAGCGATTGATGCCCTGGTGCATGATCCAGATAGCGTGCTTGCCCTCGTGGCCGATGACTCTCGCAACTCCCCTCCAGTTGATGACGCTCACGGGTCTCTTTCCTTGCTCCCTCTGGTCGTAGTAGAACACCCAGTCGCCAACATTGAAGGGTCCTCGCTCTGGTCGTACTTGTCGAAGTTCTGCCCGCTTGATGGCGTCCTCACTCGCCACCCTCGCATGTGCTTCTCGTGCTGCTTGCCGTAGTGCAACTTTCCTTGCGAACTTTGATGTTGGTGTCGCCGATGCTGCCACTGCTCCAATGCGCCGCACATCACCATCGTCCATCAAGTCTGCTGGTAGCCGTATATCTCGACCAAGTACCCACTGCGCTGGTGAGAAACCCGATCTTCTGCCCGAGGAATTCTTCGCCTGGTTGGTCTCGATCACCGCCTTCAAGACGACCTCGCGACATGATACCTGCTTGGCCCAAACGACTCTCCTCCACATGGCTTGCCAGAGATCTCCATGACGCTCAACCTTGGCGATGCGCCATGCTGCCGCCTTGGCAGCTGGGTCGAAACGGCAGCCGCGATTCGCGATGTTCTCGGAGAAACTGCCAAGGAAGCTCTCGGCCCTGTCCACGATGATCCCAACCTCAGGCTCACCAGCCCATGAAGCCCAACACAACTCGTAGGTCTCCAGGATGGTACTCGAACTTGCCATCTCGCGAATTTCTCCCAACAGCGCAACGACTTGAAATGAACGACCCAAGCATATGACGTTGAGAAACTGCGATTCAGCTTGATCTGCGTCCTTCTCGGCAAAGGTGTCAAACCCGACCACGACGTTGAACTCGTCCACTGTAGGTAACTTGCTCGGTCTAGCCAGTGCTGGTCGTCTGGTTCGTTCGCAATGTTCGCAATGAAATTATCTGCACGCCTTGATTGCTGCCTCCGACGCCCTCGAAATACGCAACGCCCTTAACATCTCCACCTTCGAAGCGTGACCCAGATTCTCGTGAAGTCGTCTGATCGCCATCTTGAGCTCGCGTGGCAGCTGATCCCAACGCTGCTGCCGGGTCGTCTCCTCATCCTTCTCCTCGCCCTCCGCCTCGCCGATCTGCGCGCCGTACACCATAATTAGAACGTCCGCGCCTGCGATCTTCATGGCTCTCTGCTGCGGTGACAAGCTCGCCCAGTCTTCCCATCCGAGTTCCTGCCACATTCCCCGTTCACTTCGGGCGTAGGCTGTCCGAAGAGGTGCTTGCGACGCGTGAAGATGAGGTTGCACTGCTAGCAGCGCGCGCGGGCTGCGTCTGATCATCAGCAGCTTAACCGTCGCATTCGTCTCCTCGAGCTTCCCGATCTGCGCCGCCCGCTCGTCCACTGATGGCCCCAACAGAGTGAGTGGCGTCAGGAAATCCGCGAAATTGTTGAAGATCTCCATCACCTTGTCCGACCTCTCCTTCTGCATGGTGATCCAGCCTCCTCTTCGAGTGACTCGTCGTCGTAGACCGCCAATTCCTCCGAGTAGTTTCGGACCTCTCCTCGCTTTCTTTGCCGGTGGTGCTTCGACTCCATATTCACCTCCTGCTGGGTAGCTCCTCTCCATGTGACACGCGGCCAAAGCGATGGCACTGTCGAGCTCGATCTGTTGACGTAGTCCCTCTCATATTGCAGCTGCCATCCTCGGTGGGCAAACCGCTGCCTGAGCTGCTCGCTGCCCAACTGAGTTGTTGCCTTCCACCATCCCATGAGGCCCCTTGCACTTGCAAGGCATGGCCAACTTGTTCAAGATGCACTGGCTGTTGGTGAGGTAGCCGCTGGGCTTCTGGATGGGCTTTCCGCTGTCCACGTCCGTCTTGCCAAACCCACACTGAGCACCTGAAGCAAACCACGTCCCAGGTAACCAAAACACTTCCGCCAACACTCCCTTGCACTTCCAAGACGCCGCTGACCATGGCTGTTCTGCAAGAAGATATCGACCATGCTGTAAGCGATGAATGCAGATTCTTCGCACCAAACACACGACTTGGATCCCAGTGGTCTCCCGCAGAGTCCCTCAGTCGATGGTCGGACACATGTTCGTCATAACTGACCAAATTCTGCAATCAAACGCTAAGATAGTCAAAACCGGGTCGTGCTCCTCTAAGATATTGAACAACAACTTCTCGCCGTCTGCCATCAATAAAACGCATCCGTCTACCATGTCTAACGGTTGGGAATTCGCCCATCCGAAACTTGCCGATCCGATTCGTGTAACCCTGAAGGTACCACCCCAGGGCTCGAAAATCATCGTTGTCTTGAAACTTTTCGAGGCTATCTGTTCGGCTAGGGCGTCCTCTTTCTTTAGGATTACCCAGGTGTGCTTCTCCTGCGCAACGATTCTGTCGAAACTTTCGTGAGCTCCTCTGTCCGCCTCTTCGTGAGTTCTCCGCGTAGGTCTCCTGCTCTGACGCCTCTCGAAGCCAGCGAGATATCCGAGCTGCAGCGAAACGTGGCCGACGATCGTGACGCACCCGATTCCGAGCTAGAACGGGTCGTAGATTCCGAGCTGTGGCGACGAGGGTCATTCAGATCCACAGTCGCACCATCGGAGTTCAACGAGACGTCGAAACCGTCGCCGTGGCAACCCGTCTCTAAGAATGCGTAGCCCTGCTTCATGACCTCCAGGTCGTTCGCGTAGTGAACTAGTGCATCTCCTCGGGTCGACGTCAGGTCCATCTTCTGCGCCCCTGCGCTCTCGTCGTCACCGAACTGCGACACGTCGATCCCCAGGTGAGGGGTCTTCCCCATCTTGACGAGCGCCACGGTGATCCCCAGCGCGGTGAGCTCAAGCTTCTTCGTCTGCATGTGGATGTGGCCGTCAAGCATCTCGAGGGCTGGCATCGACAACAGCAACGGCGTCTGTTCCGCAGGTATCTCCGTTGAGTGCGCCTCGCCGCGGTAGCCGCCGATGCCTATCGGAATAATCCAGACCTCGCCCTTTTGCTTGGCGCCGCTCGCGAAGGTGAAGAGCCAATAGTTGCCGGTTGGCCGGCACGCCAAGCCAGGTGGTAGAACTCGTTCGAAATGCTGCCCCCAGTGCTTGCTGTGCATGCAAAGAGCGCATGCAGCGTCGCCCAGCGCCACGGCGTCGAAATCGACTGAGCGAAACGCGCTGTCGTTGGCGACCACGAAGGCTGCCTCAGACTTTCCCAGCTGGTCGTTGAAGCTGTGCTCATCCCCAGCGTTGAACAAGATGAGCTCGCGCTTGTCGAGCTGCTCGCCCGCAAACTCGAGGGGCGTCTCCAAAATGGGCGCCTCCGTCCTTGACCCAGGAAGCTCCCCGAGCTTTGCGGGGGGCGTCGAGCTCCCTCCTTGGCCCTGCCCACGCCTAGGCACGAAACGAACGGCTCGAAGAGCCGCCCTCGTTCAGCTTCGCCTGGCCCACCTCGTAGTCATACGTCCCCTTGCACTTCATGATGGCGAGGTAGTTCGGGCACCCGTAGAACTTGTTCCCGTTCATCTTGTTATCTTCAGCGTCATCCCGACGCGGTAGCACACGGGGCAGGTGAGCTCGTTGGCGTGGTCGATGAACTCCCAGGTCGCTGTCGTGGATGATGCCGCCGAGCTCGCTGAACTCCCCTTCATCTTCGGCTTGGTGATCGGCTTGCTGTCCAACTCCAGCTTGATCTGCTCCCGGCGCTCCTGAATCTGCTTGTAGACCTTCATCTCCGATCAGAGTGGGCAGCGCACGTCACCTCCATGATGTCCGCACTTGCCGCAGTCGGCGCACTTCATGTTCTCGCCCCGCAGGCCCACCGAAGTCCCAGAGCACAATGCTCCTGCCGTCTTTGACGTACTACACCCCTTCTTGACCTGCGCGATGCCCGCGTAGTATCCCACGAGCCGCTCGATGAGGATCTCCCGCGTGCCACTCACATGCAGGTTGAGCTCGTTCAAGCGCTTCTTCAGCTCGTAAGCCTTCCACTCACCGAAGATCTCGGTCGGGATGAACTCCTCCTGCTGCGGCGCCTGAGTCGGCTTGAGCTTCCGCTTCGCCTTGGGCTTGGGCACTGCTGCCGCTGCTGCCGCTCCCTGAGACCCCTTCCGGTCCCCGTCGTAGTTCCGGTTGTGGTAGCCGTCGTCCTCGCGCTCATCCTTGGGCTCGTCGTCGCTGGAGCCCCCCTGGAACGAGTCGCTGTCGCCCTGGTCTGGCTCGCCATTGGCCGCGACAGCACCCGCGTAGACGTCGCCCATATCGTAGTCTACGTCGTCCTCGTCCAGGGTGAAGAACGCGCGCTTCGACTTCCCGGGCTTTGCCTTGCCCTTCGGCTTGCCGCCCTTGCCACCTCCGAACTTCTTGGCGCCCTGCTGTCCGCTCTTCGGGCAGTCCTTGTCGCCTGCCCAGTGTCCGATGCGCCCGCAAGCTCCGCATCGAGTCCGTTTCTTCTCCTCTTTGATCGCCTCCTGGCGCTCCTCAAAGGCAACCTCGCCCTTGAAGAAACCTCCCTGCTTCTGCGTGTCCTTCAGCTTCTTGCGCGCCGCCTCGTAGGCCGAGCACGCCTCGTAGACCTCGTCGTCGTTCGATGCCCCAGCATCGCTGTTGTCGTCGGCCTCGTCGACTGCGTTGGCCTGCTCCTCCTCGTCGAACTCCTCGTCCGAGATGTCCGACTCCTCGTGGTCCTCCACCTGGTTCGCCTTCCCTCGGTGGCCCTTGTTCCACTTCTGGCTGATCTGCCTGTGCTGGTGCCGGCGTTGCGGGTTCCTCCGCTCTTTCTCGTGGACGTCGTACAAGTTGACCCTGAGCGCGTGCTGGAAGGCCTCCAACTTGCACTCCGAGCCGCTGTTCATCACGATGCGCCTCTTCTGATCCTCCGAGAGCCCCGCGCCGTCCAGCAAGAAGTAGGCCATCAGGTCGTCCGAGAGTCTCGTCGCGCTGTCTCTCTCCTGTAGGTCCTCCCACAGCTTCTCCTTGTTCGCCAGGTACTCGCCCATGTCGGTGCCGCGCTTCCGGTAGCTCCGCTTGAAAAAGCTGTCGAACGCCATCCCCTTCTTCACGATGGCCTCATTGTTTAGCGACGCCAGCGCGTCAAAGATCAGCTGCTCGCCATTCTCGCGTTTCAGTTCCTTCGGGTTGGCCGCCAGGTGCTCGGTCCTCTTCCAAGCTCGGCCGTGTAGTTCGTCCAGCAGCTCCACCCGAAACCTTATTTGTTTCTTCTCTAGGCTGTTCTCCTCGTCTGAGCCCGATCCCTCGAGCCTCGCCAGCGCCAGGTTGACTCTATTCTTGTACTCCTTCAGCAGGTCTGGGTTCAGGCCCGTGTAGTGCGGCAGCCCGTCTCGGTCCACCACGGTCTCGTCGTCACGGCAATACGAGCGGCCTTGACCTTGGTCACTCATCTCGAAGCTGTTCGCATATTGGGCTGCTGGTGTCCGTGTTGGTGAGCGTCCGGCTACGCCCACGAGTCGAAACCACAAGCTCCGATATACCAGTATGATAGCTGATCTGATGGTTTTGCACTCCCGCTGGCTAGCGGACCAAATCAACTTGCTGTTCGCGAGGGCTCAGTCGCGCCCAGTACGATAGCTAAAGCTAAAAAGGCCGGCCTACAGGGTAAGGAAAACAGTGAGAGGCTAGGCTGGCGGGCCTCCAGAGGGCCACAAGGCTTGCTAGCAACAGGCTCAGGTCTCACTCACTTGGGCCCCAGAGGCCTCACGTAGATCTCCCCTGGGGAATCTCAGAATCATCATCATCGTCATCGTCATCATCACCGTCATCAGCAGCATCACCAGAATCACCACCACCAGTTACAATCACCATCACCATCATCATCATCATCATCATCATCATCATCATCATCATCATCATCATCACAACCACCACCACCATCATCATCATCATCATCATCATCATCAGCAGCAGCAGCAGCATCATCATCAGCATCACCATCATCATTATCATCAGTTTCATCATCATCAGCATCGTCATCATCATCATCATCATCATCGCCACAATCATCATCATCATCATCATCATCATCACCACCACCACCACCACCATCATCATCATCATCATCGTCATCATCGTCATCATCAACAACATCGTAAGAACCATCATCATCAGCATCAGCATCATCATCACCATCAGCATCCTAATCAGCGTCATCATCATTAGCATCATCATCATCATCAGCATCATCAGCATCATCATCGGCATCATCATCATCATCATCATCATCATCATCATCGTCATTGTCGTCGTCGTCGCCGTCGTCATCATCCGCGCCTCGGCGTCACATGGGGGGGGTCGGGGATTCGTACCTGCGGTTGCGCATCTTGCCCTTGCCAGCGCGGACCTTCTTCGAGTCGGCTATCCTCGAAAGGTAAGGAGCGAGGCGAGATGGTCGGGGTAACCTCCAGTTTCCTCCTCCTCCTCCGCCTCCTCATCCTCATCGTCAGCGTTCCGTGTCTACTGTGTCAAGTATCCTCATGTTCGCTACCTGTGGGTATCATATCATGATCATCAGCACCGAAATCATCACCACAACCACCATCATTACCAGCATCATCAGCATCGGCATCAACAGAGGCACCATAGTCATCGTCATCATGATCAGCATCATCATCATCATCATCATCATCATCATCATCATCATCATCATCATCATCATCATGAGCATCATCATCAGCATCAGCATCATCAGCATCATCATCGTAAACAGCATCATCAGCATAATCAGCATCGTCGTAAACAGCAGCAGCATCAGCATCATCATCACCACCATCATCATGGTCGTCATCATCATCATCAGCATCAGCAGCATCACCATCGTCGTTGTCGTTGTCGTTGTTGGCGTCGCCTTCGTCGTCGTCAACATGATATGCATCAACATCATCATCATCATCATCATCATCATCATCATCATCATCAGCATCATCATCATCATCACCTGTATCACCGTCATCCGCATCATCGACATTATCATGATCATCATCATCAGCATCATCATTACTATCGTCGTCGTCATCATCAGCATCATTATCTTCATCTGGATTAGCATCATCAGCATCAGCAGCATCAGCATAATCATCATCAGCAGCATCGTCATCTTCATCATCAGCAAAGTCAGCATCACCAGCATCGTCATCGGCACCCTCATCATCCTCATCATCAGCAGGATCATCAATCACGGCATCATTAACATCATTGATTCAATCGATAACATGGTCAGCATCAACAGTGTTGTCATCATCAGCATCACCATCGTCGTCGCCGTCGTCCTCATTATCGTCGTCCTCATCCTACTCATTGTCACTGTATGCAGCATCATCATCCCCATCACCATCAGCGTCGTAGCCATCATCCGCATCATCAGCAAATCGTCGCCATCATCACCATCAATAACAACATCAGCATCACGATCATGATAAACATGCTCCTCCTCACCACTACCACCATCATCACCATCATCACCATCATAATCATCGTCACCATCATCATCATCATCATCATCCTCATCAGCATCATCATCATCATCATCATCATCATCATCATCATCATCATTACCCACAACTCTTCATGATCATCGTATTCCTGGCTACTCCCCCTCCTGCCCCCTTCCTTCCTCCTCCTCCTCGTCATACCACGTCCTCCTCGTTCTCCTCCCTCCTCCCGCCTCCAAACTTCCTCCTCCTAGTCCCCGTTCCTCTTCGTTTCCCTCAGTTTTCTTTCCCGCCTCCTCTCGGCTCGACGCAAGGGAAGCCCCGGAGAAAACTAACCTCTGGCGCGAGCAATTGCCAATCGTTTCATGCGCGATGCGACATTGGCGGCCTGCGCGCTAGGGTTTTCCTTCCCCCCCCCCGCCACCCCATCACACCCAAACCACGGAATGTATTCCTGAACGACATCCATCCTAGTCCCAGCGGCGCTCCCCCTGGACCATCTCTTCGTCCTGAGCCGTTTCTTGCATTCCCAGGACCCGCGCAGCCCCGAGAACCCCGAAAAGGAGGAGAAACTCAAGACCCATTTCCCTGAGAACTCGTTTGCTGCATGGCGACGATCATCCCCTTAACCAACCTCCCCGTTGGGGGCCCGCGCACAGGTCAATGTCCAGTCCTCTGCAGCTCCTCCTCACACCCGAGCTTGTTCAGCAGCTCGACCGCCTCACGCACCAAAGTCCGGCAGCAGGGGAACACTGGGAGAGGACGAGGACGATGAAAACGGATGGTAAACCATGCGGCACTTTTTCTGCTGAGCGCACGTGAATGAGGAATGTGTAAAACGAGGCAAGAAGCACGTGCACATGGCCAGCTACCTGGGCCCAAATGGCAGCGCGAAAGAAGGAGAAGACTGAAGAGGGCAGAGAAAACAGAAGCAATGACTTGTTTACCGTTCGATTCTGGTCTTCAAGCGAATCTGCGTTTACCCCGTGGGCTACAGCACGCAGGCCGTGCCGCAACCAACCAAGCCTCATTAACAGCTGCAGCAGGATGGAAAACCCCGATTTCGGCACGCTCTGGGAGTTGCCAGACCTCGCGTCGGCCCAGGCACCTTGTCGCCCAAGATGCCAAACCCAAACACCGTTGTACGGCACGCGTGGAAAGGGCGACAACTCCTCCTGACAGAGTTCCTAGAGAAAGCCGACGCAGGCTGACGCATCCCGCAACAGGAGGCAAGGCTGCACAAGGACCTTCTACTGATCAGGCTCCTCATGAAAATTGCAAGGGAACGAGGAGAGCAGACACATTGAAAAACACAGAAAGAAAACTAACGTACTGCACGCCAAAAATGTATGCTGCTCCACGAAGACAATCCATGGCAAAAACCGCGCACTTTCACGACCCACTAGATCGCAGTTGCGAACATAGTTCGCAGAATGCGGACGTTCTCTCATGTGTCCGGCCACGCCGCAGAACATTGATCACGACACGCGGCTGTCTCTGCCTCCCCCTATGTCGCACTTGCGAACACAATTTGCGGCATGCGACCGCCGGTGATACTTTCTGAAGCCGAGGTACGCAGTGTGAAATTTCTGGCTGTTTATCCCGTCGGCAAAACGTTCTCCGCGGCGGGAACTGAGCACGGTCTCCTCGCGCCCCCCATCGCCACCGCGGCGCGGTCGCACTTGGGCCCCCCGCGCATCAAGTCCAAGATCAGCTCCTGGCCGCTACTTCCCTTCGCCATGGGGGTCGGCCCTCAGGCAAAGAGCATCGCACCAGGGCGCGTCAGAGGTCTGCTTGGCGCGGAGCTGGTCGGAGAGCCACCACAGGTCGCCAGACATGCTGCGCCCTGAGGGTGGACGCACAGGAACCACGGCGATGGCCGCGCAAAAACGGACACACCGCCCACAACAAGGGGGGCTGGCACGGCATTGCCCCCCTCCTCTCTCAGCTCCCTGATCTCCTCGACTGACTGGGCCGCGGACCATCTCTTTGAGCGCGAGAAGGTAAGCCTGCAAACCGCCAGCTGCGACGCACGCTGCAAGCAGCTCGGAGCCGAACAAAGACCCGCACACAAGTTTGTGCGAGAGGCTCGCGGCATCGAGCAAGTGGCAGACCACTTTGCTGGCGCTGCAACACGGGCTGAGGCGCACGTAGACGGCGACCCCCAAGCCGCACTCCGCCCCCACCCCCCCTTGAAGGACCCGTCGCTGCGCGCGCGGATCCAGCCAGCGCCGCCCACGCGAGGAAAGGCGACGTGCGCCTCGATTTCCCGCGCGGCGTGAACCAATGGATTGGGCCACACAACGCGTCGCGCAAGCAGCTTGTCCTTGGCCCGCCGCGACGCCGCAATGCACGATGCGACGCGGCGCCGGGCGAGAGGGGCGCGCGCCGCTGCTCCCAGCAAGAAGATAAAGGTCGCGTTCTTGACCTCCTGCCGGCTCGTCACCCCTCGCCTTGACAAGATCGACGTGCCGGACCGAATCAGGACGTCGATGTGCTCGTCCTGGCAGAGCGCCACGGCACCGTCGGCGCTGCGGCGTTGGTGAACACCAGTTGGTGAAGTCATCGTAGCCCCCCTCCATCCTGCCGAAGACGCTCTCGATATGGCCGATCAGATTGTCGACGTGCTCGTTTTGTCCAGCGATCTTCAGATCGTCAACGCGCATGAACAGCACGAGCACAATATATGAACCGCCAGCAACAAGGCCACTGGATGCCCCATGCTTGGCCTCGCGCTCTGGGCCCCACCTGGCGGGTTTAGCGTTGCACCACTCTTGCGAGCGCATGGCCCGGGCGAGCCTCATAGACTCGCCCGGGGCGCGCCCGCCCAGCCTGCGAACGGCTGGACACAGCGCGGAGACACTCGGCGCTCTCACCGAAGGACTCGTAGCAGAACACCTGCCCGAGAATAGCTTCACTGCTGGGCGGCAGGGTGAAGTTCACCTCGCGCGGTCGCC